TACGCACGAGTTGAAATTAGTAACTGCGACCGAAGAATTGGTAGTTGTCCCTCCCACTTAGCGTCCGCCCGCCCGCCCGCACGCCCGCACGCCCGCGGCGCACTCAGGGCAAGCTCTCTCTCCCTCTCGCTCAAATGCTGCCGCCCACATGGCCATCAGGCTCTCGGGTCTCGTTCCTTTTCTGCAACCTACTCGAACCCCCTCGTTTCTGTCTTCCAAATATGGACTTGTCGGTAATCCCGTAACCTTGAGTATATATCCCCGTCACTCTAATTCCAGGCTAGAAAAAGCGGAACGTTCTAAATTTAAGGAGAAGTTTTCAGAAAGGACTTGACCTCGTATTCTTTTCGCATCAGACACAGAAGGCCGATGACCTGACGAGCAACCAAGCCATTTCCTCGTATTCAAACACACGTAAACAAAGCCACGTGACATCGACACACACGGATCAGCTGATCGCCGCTTTGTACAGAAGTTTCAAACGTTTAGGCATTTCCGACTTCAAATGTCTTCCTGTAATGTTAGACGTGACATTTTTGTTTTCTCTCTAAGGAGTTTTGTTTTGTTTTCCTGACTCCAACCGCAAGAAAATTGTTAATTGTTTTTTTAAAGGAGATATAAAAAAATGAACTATGCATACGAACATTTTTTTCATGTCCATTGTGTATATCCATGGAGCGTATTTACTAAAAGCATTTCACACATTAAAAATAAATATATATGTTATATATGTTGTTATGAAGACAAGAACCAGAAAGGGTACCAATGCAGAAGAACATTCTCGAACATACCCAAACGCAGAACGTGAATTCTCCTTTCGTTGTTGTTCTTTACAGCCGGTAATGGGGAAGGGGGGGGGGGGTGATGCAGGATGGGAGTCAGGCTAAGTGTGGGGTGGTGGTTGGGGGTGAGGCGGAGAAGTAAAAGGGGGGGAAACAGTGTCTCTTGAGTGATTTGGACGACTTTCCAGGCGTATGAGTAGTGCCACAAAGGGATGAGAGGATCGGTGCTGAAGCCTTGAAGCGACGAGGCACCGAGGCGGGGTAGGTGGGTAGGCCCTTTTGTTTTGGCATCGCGTTGGTTCATTTCTCTTGTGAGGAAGAGGCTTGGGCGGGCAGGTCCTATGGTTACTCCTACATGAACTGAATCTCTCTCTCTCTTTCTCTCTCTCCCTCTCTCTCTCTCTCTCTCTCTCTCTCTCTCTCTCTCTCTCTCTCTCTCTCTCTCTCTCTCTCTCTCTCTCTCTCTCTCTCTCTCTCTCTCTCTATCTCTCTCTAACTCTCTCTCTATCTCTCTCTAACTCTCTCTCTATCTCTCTCTAACTCTCTCTCTATCTCTCTCTAACTCTCTCTCTATCTCTCTCTCTCTCTAACTCTCTCTCTCTCTAACTCTCTCTCTCTCTCTAACTCTCTCTCTCTCTCTAACTCTCTCTCTCTCTAACTCTCTATCTCTCTCTCTCTCTCTCTCTCTCTCTCTCTCTCTCTCTCTCTCTCTCTCTCTCTCTCTCTCTCTTTTACTAAGAACGAGTGTATTTGCCGCATCGGAGCATCAGATTACCTAAATCGGAGTAAGGCGGATTAGCTAAGGCGAGGCTGAGGCAACGAGTGCAGTCCCGGGGCGTAGAGGAAGGAAGGGAAGAGCGACAGCCATATGAGTGACGTGGGGGGGGGGGGGGGCTCGCTGTTGTGGGCGTGATTAAGCACACCTTCGGGGCCCCTTGCTCTTGCTCGTCCGAGTATGTGTGTGTGTGTGTCGGGGGGGGGGGGGTTAGTGTGTGTGTGTTAGTGTTAGTGTGTGTGTTGTGGGGGGGGTGTTAGTATGTGTCTGTTTGTGGGGGGGGGGTGTTAGTGTGTGTGTGGGGGGGTGTTAGTGTGTGGGGGTGGGGGTGTTGGTGTGTGTT